CTGCAGCTTCAGCGGCTGAAAACTTTTTACACAAAATTTCACATCTGTGGGTCCTTAGTGATTTCCTGAGTGTCCATTGGTCAGTTTCTTGCAAAATATAGACGGATATAAACATCCACCAGTTCCACACGGTGAGAGGCAGATGATGTGTATCTCAGCCCCTCTTTATAGGCTCATAACTCTGTATGTGAGTCACATACAATCTCGAGATAAGATGGAATACCATATTTCTGTGCTGTTTATTGCACAGATATTAATAGAAACAGTGAGAAAAACTTGTGAAAACAGTGAAAACACAATTCTTCATAGATTAACAATATAATGTAGTTTTTGCTCTGAAACACTGCAAAAAAAAAAAACAAATATATATATATATATATAAATTTACTAAGTGATCACATCTTAAATCTAGTCAATATATCTCATATTTCATTATGAGATTATTTAACATACAAACCCATTTCCAAAAAAAAAGTTGGGACGCTGTGCAAAATGTAAATAAAAACAAAATGCAATAATGTGCAAATCATTTAAACTCTATGTTTCATTGAAAATAGTACAAAGACAACATATCAAATGTTGAAACTGAGAAATTTTATTGTTTTTTAACAGAAATTTGCCCATTTTGAATTTGATGCCAACAACACGTTCCAAAAAAGTTTGGACGGGGGCAACAAAAGACTGGTAAAGTCGTGTAATAAAAAAACACCTGGTGGTTGATTGAAAGCAGGTCAGTAACATGATTTGGTATATAAAGAGCATCTCAGAGAGGCGGAGTCTTTCAGAAGTAAAGATGAGGAGGGGTTCACCACTCTGTGAAAGACTGCATGATTAAATAGTGCAACAATTGAAGAATAACGTTTCTCAACATAAAATAGGAAAGAACGTTTGCTTTTTGTCATCTACGGTACATAATAACATTAAAAGATTCAGAGAATCTGGAGAAATCTCTGTATGTAAGGGACACGGCCAAAAACCAGTATTTGCTGGCTGTGATCTTTGGGCCCTCAGACAGCACTGCATTAAAAACAGACATGATTCTGTAGTGGAAATTACTGAATAAGCTCAGAAACACTTCTGAAAAACACCGTCTGTGAACACAGTTCATCATTGCATCCACAAATGCAAGTTAAAACTCTAAAACACAAGGATCCAGAAATGCTGCCACCTTCTCTGGGCCTGGGCTCATTTAAAATGGACTGAAGGGAAGTGGAAAAGTGTCCTGTGGTCCGACGAATCAAAACTTGAAATTTTTTTCGGAAATCATGGACACTGTATCTTCTGGGCTAAAGACCTCCTAGCTTGTTTGCAGTGCACAGTTCAAAAACCAGTATTCATTATGGTTTAGGGGTGCATTGGTGCACATGGCGTGGGTGATCTGCACATCTGTGAAGGCACCAATAATGCTGAATGATATATACATGTTTTGGCAACATTCTGCCATCCAGACGACGTCTTTTTCAGGAAGGCCTTGACTTTTTTAGCAAGACAATGTCAAACCACATTCTGCATGTATTACAACAGCATTGCTCCGTATTAAACGAGTCCGAGGGCTAAACTGACCTGCCTGCAGTCCAGAGCTGTCACCACTGAAAACGTTTGGGGCATTATGAAATGAAAAATACGACAAATGAGACCCCGAACTGATGCGCAGCTGAAATCCTGTATTAAACAAGAACAGGAAAGCATTTCACTTTCAAAACTACAGCAGTGTCACCTCAGTTCCCAAACACGTATAGTGTTGTTAAAAGAATAGGTGATGAAACACAGTGGTAAACAGGCCCCCCTCCTGACTTTTTTGGAATGTGTTGTTGGCAACAAATTCAAAAAGGGCATATATTTTTCTGAAAACAATACAATTTCTCAGTTTCAACATTCGATATGTTGTCTTTATAGTATTTTCATTTAAAATATGGTTTACATGATTTGCATATCATTTCATTCTATTTTTATTTACATTCTGCACAGCTTTCCAGCTTTTTTGGAAATGGGGTTGTATTTCTAGACTTTTTGTTTTATGTCATTCTATCTTACTAAAGAGTCTTGTTTAATTGGCAGATATTTACTTGTTTTTGAGCGTAATTTCTTGAACTAAGCATAAATATCTTATTTCTCAAAACAAGTAAAAGAATTTACCAATGGAATATGGACACTTTTTAAGATATAATTACTTAAAACATGCAACAATGTGTAGAAACAGGTTTAATAATCTAATAATATTCTTACAAAAATCTCATAATTAATATTACGCTATGTTGCACATGCAATATTAGCCATATTGACTACAATTAAGATGCTTTCAGTTGCTATGATATCATTTTTTGAAGTGAAGAGGGCAAAGTGCTCCACACAGAGCACGACAACAAGACTGAAGTGCTCTGTTATATAGACATAGATGTTAACTGTGTTTTCCTAATGTATAAAACCAATGTTTGTTGCTTCATGAAGCAAAACTAAGCTGATTATTGAGTGCAGTGCAGTCAAACTCTTGCAGCTAATTGGTAGCTACTCACAATCTGTTCACACAGAGCAGGAAGGACAACTTTTCTCCAGTGACTGCTTTACTGATGATGGCTGACTGCCTCACTTTGCATAACTAGGCTGGACAGAGGGGCCGCCCCTTGGCTGAGCCCCTGGTTATACAGCTTTCTTAGTTATTACGGAATCATCTACAGCTTCAGTTTCATCATTTTTACAGCTTCCTATTCCCTATTCGTATTATGTTAGAATGATTTTATACATGCAGCTGTGGCTAAACTGGTTTTATTTTAGTGTATATATATATATATATATATATATATATATATATATATATATATATATATATATATATATATCAATTTTTGTCATTTTTCAGTTTTCGACAGGATTTGAAAATGCCTGTTGTCCCCTTTACATTGTGTGCAAATTTCATGATGAATGAACCAAAAGAATCGGCCCAAAATTACTCAGAAAAATGTCTGGTTCCATTGACTTACATTAAAAGTAAAGTATGTTTTTTTCCTTCTCCTGTAAAGTTACCATTTTGTATATATATATATATATATATAAAACCTTCTAGCCTGCTTCACTTTGCCGAAAGGTTCTATTTAAGTGATGTTTTGATTCAACATGTCTGGGTGTGGCTAATGAAATTGAACCCAGTAGTCAATTGAATTTTGGATTTCTAGTTGATTTAGTAGCTAAGGGGGCCATTACTTCACATGGGGCTGTAGTAGGGCTGAACAGCATTTTTCCTTCAATACATGAAATTATAATAAAAAAAAAAAAGCATTCTGTGTTTCACAGTTATCTTTGTCTAATATTAAAAGTAGTTTGATGATCTGAAAGTGTGACGAATATGCAAAAATAGAAGAAATGAGGAAGGGGCAAAAACTTTTTCCCAGCACTGCATACAGAACACTCCCGGTCAAGCGATATGGTTTGCTGATTCTTGAAGTAAAAATAAGTCTACGGTCAACACATGTAAATATGTCTTTTTGAGCTAAATTTAGCGCACAATTCGTATTTGTTTGCTGAGTTTTACACACTGGAAAAAAAAAAAAAACATGTAAGATATTAAATACGCCTTAACTTTTGCACAGGCCAGTTTTCCAACCTGTTAAATTCAGGAAATAAACAGTAATTAAAATCCATTAAAATGTGCTGTACATCTGACCAGGGGCGCAGGACTCGAATCATATGACTCTGACTCGAGTCAGACTCGAGTCACGAATTTGATGACTTTAGACTTGACTCAAGAAAATCGAGTAAGACTTGGGACTCAACTTTGACTTCAACACCAGTGACTCCAACTCTGACTCGGACTTGACCCTCATGACTTATCTTATAACTGCTGTACCATTTAAGGTGGAACAGAAAATTTAAATAAGAAGCTGCAGGTGAAATAAAAGCATCATCAGCTTCGTACATTCATCATCATTTTGCTGTCTTTTCTGTAAACTTTGTTCAGAACGGTCGTTTTGGTTTCTGTTGTCGTCTAAATTTAGTTCAGTATTGGTTGTTTTGAGTTGGCTGAACTAGTTTTAGTGCTGAGCTAGTTTTATATCTCTGTTGATGGAAGAAACCCTCGTATCTCCAAAATGACAACTTTACAGGAGAAAGAGGAAACATACTCTACTTTTAATGTAAGTCAATGGAACCAGACGTCTTTCCAAGTAATTTTGGGCCGTTTCTTTTGGTCCATTCATCATGAAATTTGCATACAATATAAAGGACAACAGGTATTTTCAAATTATGTCAAAAACTGAAAACCACGAAAATGGAGATACACGGATTTGTTCTGACAGCAGCGACGTACAGCCATACACTACTAACATGTTGTCATTAAAAGGCTGTAGTACTGTTACCATTATTCAGTGTTATGGCCTTAAATTAGCTGAAGAATGCAGACTGACTTGTGTAGGACTCGAAGATTAGGACTACTGACTTGGGTCTCGACTTGACTGGCTCGGGACATGAATTAAGACTCAACTACCTTGACTCGGGACTTGAGTGTGAAGACTTAAGACTTACTTGTTACTTGCAACTTAGTGGCTTGTTCCCACCTCTGATTTAAAATAAAGTGAATTGCTTCTTTACAAGTGATGAACATGACTGTCATATGATTGGTTCGTATATAATATTGTTGCTTTCATAAGAACACCTCAATAATGTTTTTCATCTTTTCATTTTCTCACCATTTGAGCTCCCATTATTATGTACAATCACTTCACTTCATGCTAATTTTCTTTCTCCTTCAAGCTTTCTGGTTTAGCCTACAATGACAGCAATATCGTATGTTAATGCATTAAAACCTCCCGACCTAAAAACAACATCCAACTGCATGGCATCAAACTCACGCTGACCCCCCGAGCACTTATGAAAATGGCTCTGGTTGAATTTGACTTTGTGGTGTGAGTGGGTACTGGAGGCCGAGGTTGGACGAGGAGATAAGTTGAATGGTCTGTTTGTTCTGCCTCTCACTTCTGCATTTCGGCTCTGAGGTCGCGATTCGCGCCCTGGCAGGAAGCTAAGCTCAACGAGCGCTGACATACGAGGAAGGACGCTGCTGGAGAGAGGGCTCACAAAAAAAAAAAACAAGGCTTGGATATCTCTGCAGACCCCCAAAACGCAAGGGTAGGTACTGTATCACTAGGCTGGAAGATGACAGCACTTTTTCATTATTTAGGCTAATTATATTTGAAATAAGACCCATTTGAACAGATCTTTAGGTGGGGCTCACTTTCTAATAGTTTGCAGTGACAAAACAACTAAAAACGGTGGGAAGATAACATGATAAATATGCACAATATCAAAATATGCATGAACTACACTGACGTGTTCTAATAATATTGATTAAATTGACTGATATTTGGGGTTCTGCACTTGATATCAGATCAGCTGGAAGAACTTGCCTTTCTTTATTCATTTGTGTCATGAAAAGTTGCTCGTCTTTGTGTTCACACCTGCCATATACAGTACCCTGCATGTGTCAGGGGCCACTGTTCATTTATTAAATATTTAATTTCCAGGCAAAACTGCATTTTTACATTTCTACGTATTTCATTAAGGCATTAGGATGTAAACAGAGTCATTCAGAGTGGTTTGATGTGAAATGGTTCAGACTTCTTTACAGTGGTGGTGATAGGAACCAGGAGTTGCCATGACTACAACACAAATACAGACATTTTATTACTATCAAAAACCACCAGTGAACCTACACGAGTCTTCTGAGTTTATATGGAATGTTGATGATGGAAAAATCGGAGAAATTAATTTTCTTTAGGGTTTATTTGGCCTCACAACACCCTGCATGTATCCCTCCACAATGAGTGGATATTAAACAATAAACCAAAATATTCTCAAAACTATCCTAAAACAGTGTCTCAGACATCAGGCTGTGAATTCATAACAATTTCATAATTTGTTATAACTTTCTGTGAGAGAGCTTTTAGAGGTGGACGTCCGGTTCCTATCACCACCACTGTGAACAATTCTGACTTGGTTTCTCTAGAACAGAGCGTTTCACACCAAATCACTCGGAATGACTTTGTTTACATATTAACAATGTAATTACTGAACTTTAAAATGTCTGTGGAATTCCTGTTTATATAAGCATACGTATATGAAAAAATAGAAATGTAAAAAATATATTTTACATTTTATATGCATATTTTATCTCAATATACACTCATTTTTTGTGTTTAGTGTGTCCATTCTTTTCTTTTATCATAGCTTCAAAGAAATCTGCAGGAATATTTTTCAGACCTCCAAAGTTCAGTCGTAGAAGTTGGTTTAGATCGGGGGTGTCAAATGGCCATATTAAAAAATCTCAACAAATCTGTTTTTACTTAACCCCAACTGACCATTGTTTATTCAAAATATGCCAAAACCACAACAGCAAAAAATAGGCACTGAATACTTGAACGATTCAAAAATAATTTTAAATAAAAACGAATTGTTTTATATAAAACAATAGGCTACATTTGCTCCAGATAACTAATAAACCTCCTTTATTTCCCCCCAATGCACAGTAGGTTTTTGAAACTGCCCATTCGCTTGAACTGGACACCTGGCGTTCTTTTAATGGTGCTGTCCCATAGATCATTGCTGGAGAGGGGGTGAAAGCACACATTACGTTGCAGTGCATGCTCAAAACTGTAGTGCAGCTCATGATGGAATGGGCTAATATTAATATAAAATTAAAATCATTTTGCGGGCCTTATAGGATTGTGCCACTTGGTCCTGACTTCGTCCGCGGGCCATGGCTTTAAGCATTTAATGCTTTTCGTCATCCAAGTAACCCCAACCAGATTCAGTGTATTAAGGTGCAGCTTGATTTTCTCCTCTCTCTCAAAGATGAAAGCTTTAAGTGCTGTTTACCTGATGGTGGTAGTTTTGGTGTCTACCAGGTCTTCCAGGTGGTTGTTAGGAGTCTCGTTTTCTCTGTAGCTTTGTCCAGTCCAGTTTTCAAAACTTCTGTTTTTTTTAATTTCTTCATGCAAGTGGATTATCTTATATCTGATCTCCTCAGAAATTTCTTCTAAAAAATCACTAGTACTTGTACCTAATGGACATTTTGACTGGAAATGAGATTAATGAAGGGTGCACAGTAATGTAGGTGCCCGGTGTAGGTTGTAGCCCATCTATTTCTGCACAATATATCAGCCAACATTGGACCACCATTGTCTAGGTAGTATTTGGGGTGGTGGCTCTGTGCTCAGAAGCTAACCATCGATGACAGGATGGCTAAGACAAACCGTGCATCAGTAGATGGGCTATAGTCTCTAACCAGCCAGGTGGAGGGGGCTTTCCAATAAAGCGTCCGGTCTAATAGTGAAGTAGTGAGGTTGCAGGCCTGGTTGGTGGCCTGTAGGTGTAGCAGGTGCTTTTGATGAGCCCACACGGCTGCCATGTGGTGTATATTGGTGGTGTATAGCTGTGAGAGAAGACAAGCAAGGAAATTCTGACTCTCATGATCATTTGTTTATGTTTCTGCACCCATGATAAGCCTGTGAAGCGTGAACCGATGAACTTTAGCCGTGCAAGTATAGTCAGTGCAGAAAGCTATTTTAATTGGGTGTGTATGAGATAGAGTGAGAGATATTTGCGTTAGAGAGAGAGAGAGAGAGAGAAGAGAGAGAGAGAAAGAGAGTGAGAGAGAGAGAGAGAGAGTGAGAGAGAGAGAGAGAAACCACACACTTCCAGTGAGTCAAGCGCCGCTCTTTCGCGATTTCCTGTCGCACGCCTTGCATCTGCTGAACGCTGTCTCTGAGCGCTACACCCCGCACACACACACACACCCGCGCACACACACACACACACTCCAGCGACTCCAGCAGCTTTCTGCACTATTTATGCAACTCAACGGCTCTGCACGCGCTGCAGCTTGACTTTATGACATGATGGAATGACGTTTTATGCAACTTCATTGAACATATATAGTAATTTAAGAACAACCCACAATCGGACGCCTTGAAGAGAAGAAACTGGAGCTGATAGACACGTTTCATCTGGTTCCTCACTCACAGTCCTTGCATGAAATAGCTCTGGCTGTGAAATGAAAATAGGGCCTGCTTATTGCCAAACACTTGTTCCTGCCTCACTGAGTGAAGAAGGTCAGAATGAGTTATAAATACGCATTCATAACAAAATGAGAATGATTTATTCCGCCATGTGACCCCCCAAAATAATTAGACTACCGTTATGGTGGGTAGACCAGGCCGTGCCCCAGAATGTATAGACCATTCTACTGAATTAGTTCAAACTGGAGTCCCTCATCATTTATAGGTTACTTTCTATTGTCTGTCCAAAACCCTAACTCTGAAATTTCAAGTTGTGAAAATAATCCTTTTTTTCTTTATTTTATGAAGTTTTCGTTTCTTTTTTCAAAGATCTTTTTGGTGTCTTTTCATTCAAAAAAATGCCGTCCCACGTTTTCATGTCACTACCGAAACACAGTTTTAGTCCATAGGTGGAGGCTTATTTTAGCCACGCCCTTCCATTTTAAAACAGGAAATGAGGCTGCATCCCTGTCCCTCATGGCCACATGGTGAGCAATTAGATCAATTTTGAAGTCAATGTGTCCCAAAGTCTGGAAATCAGTGTGGAACATTAAGAATTGTCACTACCGAAACACATATTTTCTGCATTTAAGTAACTTTTTCTGTTTTAATGAAAAACAGTATCATTTTCTGTGTGGACAGCCGTTCAAAGCTGTGTTTGCTAGTCATGTACTGGCTAGCATTTTAGAGTTCGGCTCAAAATGAGCTAAAATTGTCACTACCGAAACAGTCACTGCTGAAACATTTGGTAAAGTTTCAGTAGTGTTGATACTGTTTAATGACGAAATACAATGTTCAATCATTTACTTTAACAAAATAAACATAACTAAAGTAAAACAAAGGGATTTTAGTTTGAAGTCCAAGTCAGTTAAAAGTCTGAAATGTGGTTTGAACTCTGACGTTGAAACGGTTCAGTAGAATGATCCATGTATGATCCATATAAATGAATCATTGTGATATATATCCATTTAAATTCATGTATGTAACGATCCAGAGATCTGTTCTAAAGAGCCTCATATTCAGGACAGAATCATCAGAAGAGTCACATTTACAGCAAATCACCAAAGATAGACTCATTTAAGAAATCTGTCTGGTAATTTATCTTCAACACCACACTCATAAAATGCTGTCTGTAACTAGTAGAAAGTGATGCATGCAAACCCTCCTGTGTTAATCGATGTAGCCTTTTACATTAGCCATGCACGGCGAACTGTAGCAGCTCACAGAAACGCTACTTTCACTTCAATTGCTCTCTGCTGCGCATTTCTATAGAAGCATATATAATAAGTAGTGGATTTATATGGGCATGATGATTGGTTGGTGGGGTGTTGCCCCCAAATAACCCCCTGATGCCTGGGTTAGACAGAGGGCCATATCTCGCTATAAAAGGTATGAGAGGTTGCCTAGGCTGCCTGAGCCGCATGCGACCCAGTGAGAATGTTTTATTTTTTGTTGTATTTTGTTTGTATGTGTGACGCCTTATAAAAACAGAAAGCAGGAATGATGCACACACATATATATTGTAATCCCAGTTGAAAAACTCCATTACGTGTTTCTGTTGGTTCCTAAAGGTTTTGTAATGTGTTTTGGCTTTGTTATTGGGTTGATATCACAGTGTAAAGGGTCCCAATGGTTTAACAGGTGACCAGTGACTGATTCTAAATACATTTATTGGGTTTCTAATGAGATCTAGGTGTTTTACAGGGAACTAGTGGTCTCTATTGGAAACCTTCAAGGCAGGTTCCCATTAGAAAGTGAAATCGTTAGGTTTTAATAGTAATGGTTTCTAACGGTCCTTTTTCAGCAGGGATATATTTCTATGGTGCACACACCACTTAAACTTAATTTATAATGCATTTTATTTCTATTTCTTTCTTTTTTCTGTCTTTCTTTCTTTCCTTATCTTTTTTACAACTGATTTATTCAATATATGTATATATATATATATATATATATATATATATATATATATATATATATATTTTGTATCAGCCTTTTTTGCATTTTTTTCAGCATACAAGATAATATAATAGGTAGGTGGTCACTTAGGACCCTAAAATATACGACCCTGGC